TCAACGAAAAAAGTAAATTTGAATTGAATAAGGTAATGCGATAGCAATGAACTAAAGAATATATGTAACGGGCGATTCTGGTTAGTGAAGGCACAGAGGACACTGATGGCGAAGATAGAGAATGTTGATAGGAATGGCCACAATGAAGGATTCAAATGAAAGATATCGAGGACAATATTCTGGAATGGGTCGATGTAATTCAATTGGAACAATTGCAAAAATATGCTACCAATCGGTCTCGTTGAAAAATCCTCTCGCATGGATTGTAATTCCAGTGATAATTCGTTCAGGATGGCGCTATAGCTTCGGAATTCCGAAGCTGACGTGCCACCCAAACGATGCAGACGTTGTTTGAAATCATTCTGCCATTGGGCCTCTTGCTCTGAGNTCTGAGGCTGGCTTCTGATTCACCTGAAGTATTTCTCTTGATTTAGGAAAAATTAGTGTTTCGTGTTAATGATGCTTGGAAATTTGAAATATTCCACGCAAGAAAAGAAGAAATGATTGTACTCAAATTGTTCGCTTTCCTTGATGAGAAAAACAGCTCAACTTCAGCTATTTATAGAGAGTGGTTGAGCTTTTGTGAATATGTAATCAAAAAAGTAAAATGGATTGATGATAAATGGGATTTATGGGGAAGCGAGAGAGATCATGAAAAGATATGCTTTAGAAATGGATGAAGTGCACGTACTCAACCATTTATTTAGTAAACAAATTAATAAATCATTTAAAAATAGCTGTATTTTTAAGATATATTTAGAAGGCAATTCAGAAAGGAAAGTCACTCGCCTTAGTATGTAAAATGGGTAAAATGACCAGTGATATGGGCAAATTGATATTGACAACGAATTCGGTAAACGAGTACAGCGCTGAGCCTCCGATCTTTTTACCGACCAATTCGCGAACAATTTTGGTTACCTTCGACCAATGGGAGGTCATTTGCTTATGAAAGGCGACCATCATTACTTTGAGTGCTGAAATGATTTTGTATAGAGTTCAAAAGTTCATCAGCCAGTAACCTTGCATAGTTCTATTATTTCTCAAATGATGGAAGTTGAACCGTAAATGAGATCGAATCGGAGGGATCATCATGGAACAAACCTAGTATAACAGCTTGACAAACAGTCTCACGAACAATACGATGTGTTGAGACCGTAGCTGAATGGCCACGATCCGTCACAGAGACGGAGCCTTGTCGCGCAGCAGTATCTGATGCTAAAAAAAGGTGGAAATTCAAATCGCACCAGAGAAAAAGTTGAGCATTTTATTGGGATATGGAAGAAAGAATTCTAACCATGCGTTGTGGAAGCACGTATAATTTGAGTGGCCAAGTTGGTGCTTGTTACCGGAGCAAGACTTTGTTTTGCCAGTGGAGGATTGATGGCGTTTTGCATCAAATTCAAACAGAACGCCAAATCTCGAGACTGAATTTGAGGTGCATCTGTAAAGTCAACGAAATTTAGTCATACAGTTTACTGCTGAAGACAGCTTCGATGATAATGATTAAGACAATGTCACTGATAATTTAAACGATAGGAAACAAGAAAAGCTCACCTTTCGCTGCAGTGGCAGTACGTAGGAAGAGTGGAATTAGAAAATGGCACAAAAGTGCTTCAAGTCGTTCGGCCGTAGGACCAATACCCTCCACACTACACAAGAATTCCAGTGAAAACGAATACTGAAAGCATTATTTCTGTTAGAGCTGAAAGTCAAGTAAGTGGAGTGGACATTAGTGATTGCAATGAGATTGACCAGAATAGATAGTGAAGAGTGTGATAACAAATGAATTGATCGCATCAAGACACTGAAATTATCAGTAACATAGCTTTCTTCAAATGATATTAACGTTGAATGAAAATAATCAACCTGTCCAAGTGCTTGCATCAGAAACGATGTAAGCTTCAACACGGCGTTGCAGAACATCTGCGGAGGGATCGTAGCGTAAAGAATGGTCGACAACGGTAGAGAATGTGCAGCGGATTGTGTCGATAAGTCATCAGTGCATGGATCACCAACCATTATTCGAAGACACATTTGTGTGGTACTCTCAAAATAAGTCATTTACCTTATTATTGTTAGATGACTGTTCAAAAACTGAAGAGACTCAAGATGAATTTTGGTGAATAATAGTAATAATCAAAATCCTCATTCAGTCGGTAATGATTTTCATTCACCAGTTCGGTATAAAGAATACAACTTCACCTATTGACTGAATCTATCCCTTACGATAGGTTTTTTTCTCGTTTTTCGTTTCATTTAACAAATTCCGTCCTTTTTCTACGGATGGAATAATATTGAAAAGTCCAGTAGTATTTTCTCCACTCAAAATATCTCCATTTGAACGAAGTTATAGAACAGCTTACGAATTTAAGAGCAAATAATCAAATGAATAGATATCGCCATGAAACAAAATAACTGAAACACACCTTTAACGGATGTAGATGAGCGATATAAGGGTATGCGTTGACCGTTTGGTATAATCCAATTAACCAATTACTTAATGCCGTCCAATTCGTCCGCCTTCTCAATGTCAGCTTTTTACCAATTTTTTGGATTGTCTTATCCAAACGACGCAAAATAATGTTCAGCGCTGATCGATTTCCTTCCACTGACCAATCAGTAATTGGTAAGATGGACAGGAAGTATCTGAAATGTTAACAGTTAACATTTGAAATTTGCATTGGATCTATTCGATTGGTTTTCGATTGATTATATGAAGAAGAATAGAAGAAGGTACCTTTGTAATCCGACACAAGCCAGTGTTGTCGTATCATAAGGTGCAACTTTGAGAAGTGATAGAGCTATTTCACTTAGCTTCTGAAACATTATTTGGTATTTTATTGCTATCAATTTAATTTGCACGCGGTGGCAATGAGCCTTCTTGGAATCATATTTCATGATTCGGTTCTAGATGATGTCAATTCCCCGGATATTCTGGATTGCTTTCCTTAACATTACCATT